ATTCATTAACAATTCGGTTGAGCGAATGATGAAGAACAATTCTTGCTGAATGATTCTCTTGTGAAATACGTGGATATGCAACAGCATATGAAATAATTTGCCGTGATCATTCGGCGTGGCGGGTTATGTAAACTATTCCAGATCAGTAATCTGATGTTTTATACTGTGCGCCTCATTCTTCTGGTAATTCGATGATACTTGAGGTAATAATATTATGATTCCACAAAATGATATAATTGAATTTTTCTGTTTGAAATAATCCGAGAAGCATAAGAGGGACACTGGAAATTCTACCCGTAATTTTCGGTCTTTCAGCCACGGATCTCGCTGGTGTACTTACAGTCAGCGATGATGCGTCGTGTAGTTAAGTTAATTAATGGATGGTACAGTCTGACTGAAGAGTAACTCGAGTTAAACTGGTACGTCCTTCATTCCACACATGAATTTTTTTTCGACATCTTTCGGTGGGTCACGAGTTCATCGTTAAATTTTCGGCGGTTCAATACACAATAAATCACCCCGTGCCTATCTAATCGCAATTTTTTTGAATAATCCAGCAAAACAATACCATTAGCCACAACAACCATTTGTTCCCGCCTTTTTACAAAAACGGAATAAAAAAATAGATATATTGTAAATATCTCCCCTCTCATTTTTCACGCTATCAATTAACCCTCAACACTCCATCTGAAATAGAAGCAATTGTTCCACCGTAAATCATCGTTCTGTGTTATTCAGCTACATGCTTATTTTTTTCGACATGCGATTATAATTAATAAACAACCATGAGGCTGCGTATCTCCCGCCAGCTCGTGGAACGCGAACTTTAAACCCAGTGCAGCTGAAGGGCAATGAACAATTGCTTGAATAATTGTCGTGCAATTTGTTTTTTTTTTTACCTGGGTGAGATCGAGATCTGGACAACGAGCTGCACAATCGTCCTCCAAACTGCCGACAATCGCCGATTGATCCTCCAATCCCTCCGGCAAAAGTGCATATGCACTTGGCGCCAACAGGAGCACCTTCACCAGCACACATAATCCCTTTCCTAACATAATACAAATTTCCCCTTCACTTTTCTATCCCGCACTAAATGCAAACAAAACAATCAACCAATCAGCCAAAATTCTCAACTTGTCGTTGTCATTTTTATTCCCCCCGTGGCACTGATTTTACGTGACGCGCCGAATTCAAAAATTCGACCAATCACTGCACAATTATTTCACGGTAGACAGCAGCAATGAAAGCGCTCATCGTTGATCGGTTTATTTAATTAATCACTGATGTCGATGAATTTATTATCGGTGATGTGCATAAACAAGTGTCTACTAAGTGGTGGTGGAGTGTTTGGTGGTCGGTTGGTTGTTGGTCGTTGGCGAGCATAAGAGCAACTGACTCCCAGTGGTCGCAAGCCACTCGACTGACTCCCACCACCGACATTGTTCCCTGTTATATGTACCCTTATCTCTTTCACTTTCTGGTCCGTTGAAAAAATCCAATAGCCCTTTTCGGGACCACTCTGGCTAGTTGCTGGTGAATAGAGAGCGCTACAGAGCGGATGATGACAGACCGCGGACATCAAGCATCGGTCAATTGGTGAATTGACCTGTTCTTACTACATGAGTAAACTTTCATTCAGCTATCAGCACGTGCTTCAAGCTTTACCGTTTCACCCGATCGGCCCTGTCCTATTGTCTCTCAATTATTAATCGCCCACCAATTTACTCAATGTCAATTTATTGTGGATGTTTTTTAATTTAAATTGAATCATCCCCCACTATGAGTATAAATTGAAATAGCATTTCATATTCTGCAATTGAAATTTCATGGAGCAGTCGTTGGAGGTGGAAAAATGAAAATGGAAAATTTACAAGGTAATTTACCGATTTTTACGAAAAGTCATCGCTGTTATCGTTTATCAAACAAAAAATTCTAGACGGCACCATTCACAATCATTTACTTTGATTACTGAATGTTGAAATAGGCCTGCCGATTCTTTAGACAGGATGGGCGTTGACAGGTATCCGGATAGGCTTGTGCGACCGCTTGAAACAAGTAAATGTAATCCTCGGTGAAGAAATTTTTTCCTGTCTCTACCTGTATTGTTGGCTTTCTTTTCCAGTTGTTCACTTGGCACCAAGAGCAGTCTAAATGTATTTATCTACTCCTCAGATTGTCAGCGGAGAAGTATCGCGGTTCATTCCCCAAAGAGCGTCACTCTAACGGCAAAGATGTTTTTCTCAGAATACCATTGAAGATACTCAGCATCTGAATATTGATTACCGGACCGATAACCCGAGAGGTTCCATACATAATTCAATCTGCCAATGAGTCAACTGCATCTCGATGTAAACACATCGTAGTGCTACGAGAAATTATTAAAAATCAAATGTAAAAATCTCGATTAAAGATCACCATTCAGTCGTTCATTAATGAGTCTTAAAAATGTATTTTCACCTAATACCCATATCCTTTCCTCTAAATTAAATTATTTACATTCTTAAAATGTAAATATTTTTTTATTAAAAAAACACTGATTTTATCGAAAGTCCAAAGGCACTGGGTAACTGTACAAAAGTCAATATGAATATATTTAAATTTCTACAATTAAATTTCTACGATTCAATGATGCGATGGTATTTGGGAAAAATGCTGCATGCCAAGGTAAGATCTTTTTTTTGCAGAAAATGAAGAAGGACGTGAGGATTTCGATTAAATAGGGTTACGACATAATGGACAATTTATAGAGTCTTGCCTGCAAATCCCGCAACCTCAATGGCTGTTACAAGTTACCTAGAGCTTCCTGCGGAAATGGCCAATATACTCCTCCAACCTCCAACTCGGTGTTCACTACCGTTTAGCTACACACCGCACGTTACCCATATGATCGCCCTAACCGGCTTTTAGCCCGCAGTCATTATTAGAATGATCATCATCATCATCATCTATCCACCTAAAACAAATGTCCACAGCGAAATATTTCATAAAAATAACGCAATTCTCCCTCAGGTTTGGGTAACGCAATTTGTCATCCGGAGGATCGATCCGGATTACCCTGATCGATGAGGTACCGGGATACTCGTGGGATGATCAAAGGCCGAGTTGCTCCAGCATCCGCAAAGAACTTCATTTTCCTCATAATATGTAGCAATTTTTCCCCCATTCCTTAGAAAACCTCCTCATCAATATTCCGTCAGTCATGGATCCATCATGTTTGTCCAACAAATGTATCTCCTGGTAATCGTTCAATTACATCGCACGGAGAGAACCAGTCCATCAACGCATATTGTCTATTTTACAGAGTTGGGTTTACATATACCGATGAAATTGCTACCTCAAGGTGTTTCCTGGAGAATAATTAAATATTTCAGGGTCACTGTAATAGCTTTTCCTCTAAGGAGATTGTGGTAGTCTTGGACTAGATCAGTGGAGATTCTAAAGGGATTCGTAATCTATTCAAAAAACTGAAAGCGAAAAAACTGAAAGCGAAAAGAATTCAATCCCGTGATATATTTCAGTGTTTAACTTATACTGATAACGGGATTTCCATTATTGACTCAATAAAAATACATGGGAAATTTAAATAGCGCAAAAACAAGTTCTGAATACAATTGGGATTTCCTTGTGGATGTGCGCACGCATTGACATCTTCTCGATCGTACTAGTATGTACTTGACACGCGCGATGATTTAATCTGGCAAACAGAGTATCGATACTCCCGTATGCATAACAGAATGATCAGTTACCCTGGGGATACCACAAAGCCCACACGGAAGATGTATTTAAAATCAGGAAAGGCATTGCTGGTGCTATTGACAATGTGTTGTATTATCTCGTTACATTCTTGTGAACCCCAACGAACCGCCGATTTATCAAATTCCACCGATCAGGAGAATCCGATTGCCCACGGGGAGTTATTCGCCATCAAGAAATTCACAGTTCCGGTATGTGAAGAAAAATAATAATCGGAAGTGTCATCGAATTGAGCATTCATATTGAAAATTAAAAATTTCATTAATAGGTGGATCATTTTAGTTTCTCTTTGAACAAGACATTCGAGATTAGATATCTTGTCAATGATACGTGGCAACGCGGGAAAAACGCGCCAATATTTTTATACACTGGCAATGAACTGTATATTGAGGACGCCGTTGGAGCTGCGGTTAGTTTAATGCTTGCTTGGAATTCGAATTATTATTCCGGAATTACAGAGTTGTACGATTACCTTCAAGAAATCGATGGAAATCGATGGAAATCGATCTGAGATTGGTCACCATTTGTTGGATTTATCAGAAAAGATGTTTAATATGTGAACAATTTTTAGGCGTTTATTTATGATATTGCGCCGGAGTTTGGAGCTCTGATTGTCTTCGCAGAACACCGTTATTACGGTGAGTCACTTCCATTTGGGAAAGACTCATTCTCGAATCCGGATAAATGGGGTTATCTGACCTCCCAGCAAGCTCTGGCCGATTACGTCGATCTGATTGGGTTTCTGAGATTGAATTCGACGATGGAACACAGTCCGGTGATCACTTTCGGGGGTTCATATGGGGGAATGCTGAGCGCATGGATCCGAGTGAAATATCCTCACGTTGTTCAGGGGTAAGTTCAACCGGAGATGATCACCTAGTGCCAATGCTTTTGTAATTACCTATTGATGTCTCCTAGTGCTATAGCTTCATCTGCACCAGTCTTCCAGTTCTATGGCGTGCGCGATTGCCAGCCATACTTCCAAGTTGTCACATCAACTTTCGAAGCAGTTGACTCTGAATGTCCGAAACTTATTCGCCAATCTTGGAGTGCCATCGACAATCTAACGTCTTCAGGTATTTCAGTCGCTTTCTTCAAATTCACTATGAGGAACAATTTAATAACAGTCATCATTATTTATTACAGATGAAGGTCGAGACTGGTTATCAAAAAAATGGAATCTATGTACTCCCATATCAAATAAAACTCATATCGCTCAATTGAAGAGATGGTTGCAACGTCGTTATACATCCCTTGCAATCACGAATGATCAGCATTCCACGTCCTCATACTCTGCGGAACAAATCAATGTGAGAGATTTCTCTTTCAAAAATGAAAAATTAATTGTTATCAATCTGACAAAGAAACCTGCTATTCATGTTCCAGAAAATATGTACACTCCTGAAAAACGCGAGCACAGATTCTGATATTGGAATTTTATCCGGATTGGGACTGGCGACGAAGAATTTTTTGTTTGCCGATGACGAGTGCATCACAACTGCCGATGAGCCCATCCTGGATCAGCAATGGAACTACCAGGTGTGCACTGAGTTAGTGATAAATCTCTGCACCGATGGGATTCGCGATATGTTTCAGCCGGAGCCATTCGACTTCGAAGGATTCACTAAAGACTGCAAAGAGAAGTTCGGTGTAGTTCCTCAACTGGGTATGGCATGCAAAATTTACGGATGCTCGGATTTCAGTACTGCCACTAATATAGTCTTCAGCAATGGATTACGTGACCCCTGGCATGTTGGAGGTGTCCTGAAGAACGTATCTGATTCGGTGATCGCTGTGATCATCCCGGAAGGATCACATCAGTTTGATTTGGCGGGCAGTCATCCGGAGGATCCAAAGTCCGTTATCGAAGCTCGCAATATTCACAGAACTTTTATTTCTAAATGGATTCAAGAATACCACGAAGCGACGAAGGTTTCATTATTAATCCAATGATTATAATTACATAATAAACATTTTATGGAAGACAAATAAGTATTCAGCTTGCGTAATAAAAGAATTTGAACCCACTGGAAATTTATTAATTACCCAGTTATTTTCTATCTCGTTGATATACACATCATGAAATTAATCATTATTTCTATTTGTTTGTGGAAAGTGATAGTCTTTCTGGTCGTAGACAAAGAAATATTGAAAACATATTCAGGCAATCCATTTTATACTAGCACCCGTGTTCCTCCCATTCTCATATTACTCCACGCACACGAAGAGAACGTTGTATTTACATTGAACTGATTAGTATAATCGGTGAGCTGAGAGAAACCCGTTAGCGGTCATCGCCGATATTTTTCGCAACTGTTCAGTCTTGTTTGTGGTATCAACCACTAAACACTAAGTTAAGATGTTCTCCGGTTGTTTCGAAGTACTCAGCGGTTTACTACTGCAGTACGTGATAATCGCTTCATCCATTGTTCATTCAAGCATTACAGTATCTTCGGATTTCACAGGAACAGATAATGCCAGTGATTACGCAAACCTTGATGTTAAGGGCGGTGATTACAAGTACCTTATTAAGCATTTCAGAGTACCAGTAAGTACAAAAAGTCAGCTGAGCGTTAACTGCATTTCAAAGTATTTTTTATCGTTTCAGGTGGATCACTTCAGCTTCTCTAGCAACGAAACATTTGAAATAAGATATCTGGTGAATAATACATGGCAATCGGGAAAAAATCCACCGATTTTCTTCTACACTGGGAATGAAGGAAAGATCGAGGAATTCGCTGCCAATACTGTGAGATCAGTTGTCACTTCTTATCAATTCAATTGGTGGATAAAATCGGGCAATCAATTTTTTGCATTATTTATCATATAGCCGTGTAATTATGTATTGTCGAATGTTGCAGGGGTTCATGTGGGAAATTGCACCTAGTTATGGGGCATTGATAATATTCGCCGAGCATCGGTACTACGGCCAGTCTTTGCCAATCAGAAACAAATCAACTAGTGACACAGTGTACTTGGGTTACTTGACAGCACAACAGGCACTAGCTGATTACGTTGATTTAATCGAGTATATTAAATCAGATGGGATGCTGAAACACAGTCCAGTTATTGCTTTCGGAGGGTCTTACGGCGGAATGTTGAGTGCTTGGTTCCGCATGAAGTATCCGCACATCGTTCAAGGGTGATAATGCATTAATGCATCAAAATAATTAGTTAAGACATGATTCTGCACATTGTCATTAATTCATTGCAACTAGCACATATGGCGTGTTGTGATCCATAATTTTCATTTAGTTCTCAAAAATTTAGTTTTTTCATCAGCTTCCAATTGATTTCACACATATTCGTGCCCTAGGATATAATAAACTGCGGAAAAAACTCTCTCGATTAATTAAAATATCCTGATAAACTTTCTGGTACTGCTAAAAAATCGTTTCAGTAAATGTTGATGGAAAATTATGTATTTTACGTTATCAGAGCGATAGCAGCGTCGGCTCCGATTCTCCAATTCACCGGTATCACAGATTGTCAAGCATTCAATCGCATCGTGACATCAGACTTCGGAGCAGCCAGTGATACCTGTCCCAAAGTAATCAGAAAATCCTGGAATGCTATTAACAATTTGACTTCTACGGGTAAATAAGACGGTTATATCGTTATAAATGAACAAATTGATCGACTTATTTGATTGTTATCCATAGATGAGGGGAAGAGATGGCTTTCAGCCGATTGGAAATTATGTCAGAACATCACCAATTCCACCGACATCAAACAGCTGAAAGACTGGTTGGTCAATGTATATGCTAATCTAGCTATGGTGGATTATCCTTATGAAGCTAATTTTCTGGCCCCATTGCCAGCTTATCCAGTAAAGGTAAACATTATGTAAATATGAATAAATGTATTCTTCTATTGCACTCTATTTTCAGAAATTCTGCGAGCCTCTCACGGACGCCAGTGGATCCGACAAATCTATTCTGTCATCCTTGAAGTCCGCATTACAAATCTATACAAATTATAGCGGAGAGACTTCTTGTATTGCTACAAAGGATGCATCACCTAATTTGGGAGCGGATTTGTGGTACTATCAAGCGTGCACGGAGATGGTGATGCCCATATGTGCTGATGGCAAAAACGACATGTTCGAGCCACAGCCGTGGAATTTGTTGAAGTACACTGATGAATGCTTGAAAAAATATGGAGCCAAACCCCAGCCCAATTTGGCCTGCAAAACCTACGGCTGCCAAGATCTGCGTACGGCTACCAATATTGTCTTCAGTAACGGTTTATTGGATCCTTGGTCCAGTGGTGGAGTTCTGACAAATTTATCTGAATCGGCTATTGCTATAATCATTCCTGAAGGGGCTCATCATCTCGACCTCAGGGAAAGCCATTCAAATGACCCATATTCTGTGATCGCAGCTCGAAAATATCACAAACTCGCCATTTCCAAGTGGATCGAGCAGTACCGTGAGACTTTTCTGAAAGAACATAACGAGGCACCTCTCCCGTAGATTCTTTCATCCTGCGACTGAGTTTATAACTGAATTTACTACGAGTTCCATGAAAAAATTCAATAGAGAAACTTGACGCTTTTTCTATTAATTCTGCAGTATTTCTGTTGGAACTGTCTTTTTGCTGTTTGGAAAATCTCTAGACAATTCACTCTAACTCCAATATACTCCCAATTGAATTTTGAGACAAAATGTTAGACTTTTTCATTATTTTTTTTTCACACTCTTAGTAATCGTCAATTTTTTATACTTTGAAATTAATAAAAATAATGAGAACGGAAGTGAGAGGGTGCTTTAATGAGTCACTGAATTCTAGTTCCGTCTGAGTATGAAGAAATTCTTCTAGAAAACTCAATAACAATGTTCTATCATCACATAAATATGGAGATTATCCTTAAGAAAAATCGAGCGTAGAGTCCACGCTCTTCAATCGCATTTCAATTGACATATGACAAACAGATAATGTAATTAGTTACTTGAAATAATATATTTCATCACTAAGCCGTTAGGAACTTTTCTGGCGATTGTGAGATGGAATTCAGGGCGAAGCCGAGGAATGTAAACATAATCGTCAGAAAAGTTCTTTTCGACGGAGTGACGAGCGATATTTTTATGAGAAAAATAGAAGAGAATGAGAGTAAACATGGGGACCCGGATATTCCTGATATTGCTAGTAGAGTTCAACGACAATATTATTTAGTCGAGTGATGTCCACAATTGCTACGATTTTTGTATTTTTCCGTGGATCACCGGTTATAAAACATTCGAAACGAGTCCAACGATTAAAATTCATCAGTAATTCGTTGTTAAATTTCGTTGAATAAATATGAGAAAGATACGTTACAATAATTTGTGACTTTATTACTCTTTTCAATGAACAATAACAACACAAATGCAATTGAGACACTAACATTTTGGTAGGCAGCAAAATACGTATGGAACAATTCAATACAAAACATGATTTTTTTGAAAATCCTATCGAATTTTTTTATACGGAAAAATCCTAAAAAGAATTCTAAAAAACATTTAAAAATATAAAGAAAAAGATTAAATAGAAATACAGCTCTGTAATGAAATGAATAAAAAATGAATATATAACGCGAATAAAAAACCTCATGGGTACTTTGAAGTACTTCAACATCCTATTCTAAACGAATTTGGAATCGGAATTTAATTAGGAGTTCTTCGATGGGCGGTCGTGGGTCTAGGAACACCGGAACGTCCCCTGACTTTCTTGGGCTGTGTGAAATTCCTCGCTGGCTCTGTGTTATAAGTTAAGTAGAGATAGGAGAGATCGAGTTGCGGTTGATCCTTGGAGTTGCCAAGGGGCGGTGTCGCCTGTGCTTTTCTCATATTATTGCCAGTGTAGGCGACACACTTGAGTTGCCACTCGCCAATGTCCTCGTTCCAGTGGACGTATCTCTCGATCATCGTTTGATACTGAACAGGGATGTAGCTGTTGAGGATAAGCTCCTGAAGCTGGAGCTCCCTACCAATGGCCCTAACCCCCTCAAGGATCCCCTCCATTTCCCTCTGGTGCTCTTCCTGAAGATCCAAGAGTTCAGCCTTTGCTGACATGAGCATTGTATAGACCTTAGCCAGTTTCTTAGTTTTGCCGGCAGCTTCTTCCTGCAAAGACGAGTACTTCTCCTCGATGTCGATTCTCTCTGCTTCTTTCTCCTCAATTGCCTTCTTCAATTGCTCCTCGCGTTTTTTTCTCTGATCGAGCTCAACAGCCGCTGCCGCCAACATTTGCTCCTGGGCCTCAGCCTTTTCCAGAAGATTTTCACCTCCAACAAGAATTTTGTTCTGGAGATTAGTCATCTTCTGACGGAGTGCTTCCTTCTCAGATTGTGTTCTCTTCAACTCAATGACGTCCTTATCGTCAGGGCTCTTATCATTGTGCTCTGCCGTGTCGACTTTCTCCACTGATGATTCTAAATCCTTGTCTTCAAGCTCCTCCATCGTCAGCATCTGGCTGCGTCGACGAAGTTGACGCTCTTTTCTCGTTTCACCTGTCTCTGATTCGTCGGACTCACCGTCGGACTCCGAGACCTCTGCGCCATTCTCCTCCAGCTGTTTGCGGAGCTGTTCAATCTCGTCCTGGAATTGACGCAACAGGGCGTCCTTTGGATCCTCGTTTATTCTCGCACGATTCTTAATATTCTTGGCACGGTTTGCATAGCGAAGGGTGCTGATTGTTTCGTCATAGTTTATGTCCGCTGGACTCACGTTTGCACACTATAGAAGAGCAATGTTCAATTTGAAAATATATCTTCAATGTAGTTTAAATATAAAATAATGAATTAATGAACCAAAATAAATGAATATATCTCACCATAAGAGTCTTGGAATTTCCTCCAAGGGAATCCTGCAACAATCTTGTAAGTTTAGAGTTTCTGTAAGGCACATGAGAGCTCTGGCCATCCACAAGAGCCGAAATAACATTCCCCAAGGTGGAAAGGGAGAGATTAATCTTCGTAGCTTCACGCAGTCTGATTCCAGTGGCTTTAGTCTTGCTCTGTCTCTCAGAGCCCGCAAGATCCACTAGGTGAAGCTTTCCCATCTTAACATGGGGCTCCCCATCCTCTCCAATTTGACTAGACTCAACAGTTATGGTAAATATGGCGTGAGATCTGGAGCTGGAGACGTTCATAGCCGTGGCTCCCACCACTCTGTTCTTGTTTCCCAGGGTCATTATTCTGTCTAGATCGTCAGCATTGTTGACGACGTATCCACTGAGATCCTTGACAAATACTCCAATGTCTGGTCGTTCCTTCACCTCGAGCCTCGTGTTCTGGTCCTTTCCAAGCAAATCTCTGATTTCTTCATTATAAATTTCAAGGTATGCAGCACGAACCAGAAACTTTTGGTTCTCATCTGCCTTGGCGATGTGCCCAAATATATGGGCAAAAGTATTTGGAATGATTCCTCGTAACTGGGGTGAAGTTTTTGCTCCTGACATTGTGTAGGTCTTCCCCGTTCCTGTCTGGCCGTACGCGAATATCGTGCCATTGTAGCCCTGGAGAACTTTGTCAACGATTGGACGAGCTGTTTCATTGTAGATGTCGACTTGGGTCGAGTCTACGTCGAAGGCTGCGTCGAAGGAGAAAACCTTGGGTGGTTCACCTTGCTGAGCATTTGGATTCTCTACCGTCAACTCAGCGTTCAGACGATCTACTTTGATTATCTTCTTGCAGTGACCATCCAACTCTTTTCCATTTAGTGGTCGAACTCGAACAACCACACGGACATTTTCTATCTCACCAAGCTCGTTTTCCTATTCAAAATTTATTGTAATCAATGAGAGAACAAACGCGTCACTCTTCAAAATACTGCCATTTACGCTAATAGCTTTGGAAATTTTTAGCCAGTCACGTTATCTTTACTTTTTCATTTGTCCATTGAAAATTCGTAATGCCAAAAATTGGTGGTAACTCGAAATTTGAATCTAATTATTCCAAGAAAATTAATGAAAAGTCATGCATGTTCTGAAAAATCTACTCCATAAGTTAACCTAATCACTTTATCCCAGTCTCCTTTATTATTGAAGAATGTTAATGTTTCCTCTGCGGAGCAGTACTGGTTAACATTTTTCACGAATCCAGAGTTGGATTTCGTTCTTTTAAATTTTTTAACTATTGAAACATATAATTCATATGCCCGGATTGCTGTTGGGCAGAATATAATAAAAGGCAGAACCATCTGTCAAAGTCGAATCGCTCCAATAATTTAAAAGAGTTTGTACAGAGTTTGAGACATAACATTAATTATTTTTTGGCTCAACATTAAAATTCAACGGTGAAGTGAAGGGTGTTTCTGGAATTAAAGATTTACTTATCTGTTCCTATAGATAGAACTGAATTACATGTTTTATGAGAACTGAATGGTAATAAACTTTATTAATGAATATGTACTTACTCCAGTAACTGGCATTTTCGTTTATGACGAATTTCATCGACTAGATCAATGCATGGTACAGTTAAAAATCCACGTATTACGTGTACGAAATAACCGGTCCCGTAAACAAATGTCACCTGGAGCTGGAGCACTGACGTTTTGCATCGAATTAACAAAACTTTGTGAAATCGATAGTGGTGAGTGAGAGTATTAAAATCTCTTGGGGGGTTAGGACTGGTGGATTATCCGGGCAGTAACCAATGAGAGACGATGTTTAGAGTAACTGTGTCAAGACACGCCAGAGGGTTTGTTTTATTGGTCAGGGATGCTCAGCTGGTGGAAATTTTTTGAGCCAATTGGAGTCGATTGATAACAGCAAGAATTTTGAGGTTATTCTATTGTGTTCATGTCAAAAGCTGAATTCATCGAAACCTAATTGCAATAATGACATCTTGGATCACTGTTACCCCCAGGTATGTTAAATCAGCATAAGGATTTACGTATATTTTCATTTTTCTTTGAAACTATATGTTGAGTATGTTAATTCTTCCTGTTAAGATTAGAACAGGGTTTGAAAATGCTCTCTCAAGTGGAAAATGGGAAATTACGTCCCCTGGTAAACAGAATCTGTCAAAGTTTACACTCAGGAATGACTGAGAGAGCATTTAGTCAAGATGAGGAAGAGAAACTTCTGATTTCCTTGAATGTCAAACGAGACGAATTGGATCTAGTTCTTGATACTATTACGCTGATATATTCTCAAGCTGCATTTGGTGTTGTCAAACCTGTGATCATGGAATCTCTAATGAAAGAATCATTCTCAGTGCCTGAGGACAAAGTCTCCATATTTGTGAACGCTTGGGTCACATATGCCAAGGGGATCATCGATTCCTTGAAGCAGAAATCAATTTTTCCCAGTCAGGTATTTTATAGGAATTTTCCGGTTTGAGAAACGTAAGAAATATTAATAACATTTCATTCTGGATTAAATAAAATTTTAAGAGTAGAAATAAAAATCTAAAGGGCTCGTGCTTCTTCTAATTGATAGTTTTTGTAATTTTTTCCAGGTCGAGGATATTAACTGGACATTGAACATTCCAGCAACGTCATCTGAGATTTCCCTAGATGTGAAGCCTTCAATTTACCTTCAATTAGGCCTCACTGGAACTGAATCGAAACGATTGACTGTCGAAATGGACAAGCCCCATCTCACAGAGCTGTACAATCACTTGGAAAAAATTCAGAGTCAATTAGACGCTTTGAAATAAAGTAAAGGTATTATTCTAAATTCCGAAATTGTAAATATTCTTTATAATAATAACAACAAAAAAATAATTTTTGTATAATATGTACATTTGGTAACAATTTATTCGCTATGTTGTCGCAAAGTTTTCGTAACTTCTCGATATTGGGGAATGGTATTGTCTCAGGGATTCATAATAACTGGGATTGACACCGAGGATTACCTCGTCGGTCGAGCGACTCTCATTTTTGGGTCTCGACTCTCGACTCTCGGTGCTTCTTAGTCTCAGGTTATTCGGATGATCGAAAGAGACTGTCTCGAGTACTCTAGGCTTTCTGTTGAATAATTTCCCTTTCCACACAACCAGAACGACGACGAGAATCATCACAAAGAGAATTAGAGTTGTCACTGCTCCGACTATCCAACCAAGGATTCCATCAGCTGAACAAAAATTTATGGAGTTAGCGAACAAAATCCAACACAGTAGTTTTAAAAATCACCTAATCATCATAAATACATCCCTTCATTCATTACGGTTACAACTCCAAATAACAGAATAATGATGTTACACTGAGTGCATCACAATAAAAATAACACAGTCCAAAAATTATACAATGGTCTGTTAGTTTTTCTAGAATCCCACATATCAAATCTGAATAATTGCGCATAACAAAGTCAACATTGAGAAGCTTGCCTTGCGTTGTGGATAATTTTTGTGCAAATAAAATGGGGAACAATTTCTGTAGAGAGCGTCTTAATAGAAATTACTCGTGTGTTGTAATACGTTATTTTATCAGGATTTACTGGAACAAATAAGTAATTAACCCAAGTCCACGTTAACTCAACGTCAGTTTAAAAAAAGCTTAATTGATCCAGAAAAAACCAAGAGTGAGGGAAATTGATGAACATAACATTAAATTTTGTAACAATGTTTCCTTGCTTACCAGGTTCCGTTTGAATGACCATCACTGTAGCATTTCCCAGTTCAATGAATCCCTCACCAGTGTCAATATAGAACCTGCACGTCCATGACCCTACATCACTAGCATCTGGTTTGAACTGGAGTGTACACATTCCACTAGTGTAATTCATTCTCATATCCTGCCTACTCTCCCCAAACGATAATATTTCTCATGAGATTCTCATCATCATCGTCATATCCCCACTGAATAATCCCATATCTCTACGCAAAAAGCAATCACCTCTTTCGTAAAGTCTCATTCCTGTTGATTCGATCGTTGGACTGGTGATGCCACTGGCATTTAGCATTCAGTGGCATTGGGCTGAGCCTGCAAGCCAGGGTAACTTTTTGATGAGGACTGGTCCATACAGCCACTGCCACTGGCTCTAAAAGTCAATCTATTAATCCCTTACTCAATAATTAAGGACACGAAAATCAGCTTACCAAGTACCTGAGTGCTCCATTATTTGAACAAAATCACCAACCACCGTGTGCGTGGCGATATCATCCTCGAGGATTAAGCGTGAACAGTTGGTTATGTGCAATTTTCCCCACATCCCTTGCGACATTATTTAAGGGAGGCTACTATGAGTTTCAAAATTCATGGGCTATTGGGCTACGAAAAAATTGATTATGCTTGAAAACGAATAATGAACGATGAAAAAATTTATTATGCTTACAACTCACAGTATCTTTCTCTTCAACCCTGATGTAGACATGGATTTGATGACAACAGGTAACATAAATGAATGAATGCAAGTAGCGATTTTTTTTTTCACAATGTTTTTTCTCTCATTTTTATTATCAAGGTTAACTTAAGACACGTATCTACTCAAATCTGAATAGTTTTGTCAATCATCTTAGAGTTCTACCTCAGTATAATAATAGTCGAGTCATTACGATTAATGTAAATAAATAATTACAAGGCACAGAAAAAAAACTCGATGCTACATAGAGGGGAAAAAAACAAGAAAAATAATAAATATTCTTCTTACACCCTCAGGACTTTGTACATTGCACAATTTCTCTAGTCTCTTACGTTAAAAAAATTGAGATGATTGCTGATGATAATAAAAAGACAGGTGTGGCGGATTAAACTAGTCGGTGTTTGAAAAGAACAAGTTCATGCACAAAGAGTGGCCTTGGATGAATTGGAAAAAAAAAAACAAAACAAAACAGACGAAAAACAGGATGAATGTGAACAGTGACAGACTGTTTGATAATACAATTTTTGATCAACCACCACCACCAAGATCTTCCTATTCTTTCCTCGAATCAATGATACCTTGCTCAAGAAGGCTAAGTTTTGCTGGTGCTGCATATGTGTAATTCTCATTGCCACGAATTTTAGCACCACAGGTCCACAAACCCTCTTGTTCAGCCAAAGCATGACTCAGTCTCACACTGCAGTCACGGCCCTCAGGTCCAGCTGCAAAAAATTGTTTAACCACTACTGTCGTATTGGAATTAACTGGGGTGAGTGACCATCTGCATTGCTCCACAGACAATGAGGTGACACACTTGAGGAGTACACTGCCTCCCGACGATATTTGAATATCCTTTGACAACTCGGAAAATTCGATTTCGTCTGGAACACAACGAGGGAATCATGTCTCACCTATTTCTCGATGGCAATTCAATTATAGTCGGATTTTCTCGCAATCACACTAGCAGTCAGAGCTGCTTCTCTCAGAATCTGATTAGAACTGGCATAATTTGATTTTAATGATATTTTATTAAATGAACTATTAAGCTTCGATGAAGAAAATGAATAAAAATAGAAATGCATTTGGTTTGGAAATGATTAAAATCAGTCATTGAAACCTACAGAATTCAAACTCCGTAGGAATTAATCTATTATTTGAGAGTGCCATCGTTAACTTCGGTATTTAATAAATGCCCCAAATTTAGATTCTGTATCTATTCATGCACATGATAATGGTATCCTTCTCCAGTGATAATCACCATGTGCATATTCATTATTTTCATTCTCCACGATTCTGTCCGCATCCGACAACCTTCGGAATAGTTCAGTCCTTAATTAGCCACTATTTCCGCTCTCCCGAAATAATAATCGAAAGCCAATAAAATCGTTACCTTGCTCATACACAACGACCTTTGCGAATGGAGACGTGACAACTGTGTTGGTAGATGTCACCGAGACTCTGCAAGCCCAGTAGCCTTGATCTTGAATCCTTACTTGAGGAATGTCCAGACTGCACTCTTTTTCACCACTTCCCATTCCAGCGAATTCCCGCACTATTGTTGCCTTTGCATCTCCGTTCAGAGGACGCCAAAGCCAGGAACACTTCTCCGCTCGTCCACTCACTGTGCATTTCAATACCTCTTTGGTATTTATGAGAAGTGTGTTGTTTTGAGGAGTCTCTACTAAATTTATCTTTTCTGAAATCAAGAAGGAAGATCATTTCTTGATTACGTGTCATTTGATCAAACGTTAAGTCATTTTACCAAGCCACATCTCATGAAATAGTCATTGAAATTATTCAAGGAGAATGAACATAGGATAGTCCACTCATTCCGCAATGAACAAGTAATCGCTTGAATAATTGTCAGTCCCAGAGAATTTTATCTATTGGTGAAAAATCTATTGGAGATGTTCTCTTAATACCATTTGAATTATGGAGATATTTATAAATTCGCATATTCGAAAGGCGAAAGAATAAGAAAGTCCTCTAAACTCACCAGGTAGTAGAGTAAGTTTAGCAGGTGGTGCCTCATGGAGAGGTCCCTTGCTGGTTAATCTAACGCCACACGTCCACAATCCCTCCTCTTCATACAATACTTTTTTAAATCTCACTGAACAGTCGTGATCATTATCGCTATTGGGAGTGATTTTTTTTATAACCGTTGGTTCTCTGCTGGAATTTATGGGCTTCCAGGACCATTCGCACTGAACGGCCGGTTTGTTCACCAGGCATTTGAGCTGTGCAGATTCCCCAGCGGCAATCTGGATGCCACTTGAGAGTTGTACGAATTTCACTGGAATTTAACGGTCACATTCCAGTTAATAGTTGTTTACTACAGACAATTGATTCAATCTTGGCTTACAGTGGAAAAGAGAGAGATGAGCAAAACGGAGAGAACGTAAACATACCTTCGGAGATAAAAAAACGTATAGGATGCGCCAGGGCAAATGTGCCATTGAGATTGCTGCGTGCACCACACGTCCACAATCCCTCTTGCTCCGGCAATACATTCGTGAATTTAATACTGCAGTCTGTGTTGTCAGGGCCGAATGAGATGAATTTTTTTATCTCCAAATTCCACACATCCGTTTGATTGAACAGTCTCCATGACCACTGGCACTCCTTCACTGGTCTTTCTGTACGACAAATTATTTGGCCCGATGAGCCCACCGCTACCTCTTCCGCATCCTCGCTCTTTACGAACTTTATTGCTGTTTCTGCAAGCAATTCCCTCATTCATGCACAATAATTCGCCCACTTCTTCAGCAACTGTGAGATTTTCTTTCCCGTTATTTTTCATTTAAAAAGAGATCCCCCTTTTGTTTAATTTATTCAATTACAGATAACAGAAAATTATTGCAATGAATAATATGTTCCAGAGGGGAAGGTTCTTAGTCACAGATAGTCGTTTCATTAATGTAATCTTAATCCAAATGAAAGCAGAATAAAATTTACATATTCCATACGAAGGATAAATTTATTTCAAATTCTCCCTTGATTACTGAATCATACTCATTGTTCTTCGCAGTTATCATTTCCCGAAGAAACGCAATGACTCACAATCGAGCATCTATGAAAATTGTGGCTATAAATTGAGTCGCAGTTGTCGGTAATTGTATACACAAATATAAGTAGTGAGTAATTGTTATAAAAAGACGATTGCACTTTTCTTGTTCCTCATAAGCAGAGTGCGTTATTATTTCCACAAGCTTGTCTTCAAAAGGGAGTAATTGCAGTGAGAAAGAAACTGATTCAAGAAGGACTGATGAAAATAATTGCTGATACATACCATTTTTATCAGTGGATATGGTAATTCTGGCTGGTTCAGTGCTAACGAAATCCCCGTCACTGGATTTTCGGGCGGCGCACGTCCAATATCCTATTTGCTCATACTGAGTATTAGTAAATCTCACTGAACAATCATTGCTATTATTACCAAACGCTGGAAACAGTTTGACTGGTAATGACTGTGTCTCAGCCGTGGTTGGTACAGTTGCAATAATCGTTGTTGTTTCATTGATCTCCTCTGAATTATTGATATCAGGATGTGGCAGGTGGATGGGGGGTAGTGGCCGCCAGGACCACTGGCAGTCAATCACAGGTTCGGCTGTTCTACATGCTAATAGGACAGAGGCACCCAGTGGTGTCACTGTGTGCTGAGGAATATCCAAAAAAACTAGAGATGACTCATTACGCGATAAAATCACAGCAGGTACTGAGGAAGGTGTCGTACTCGTCGACTCTTTCCGCGTATTTTCTGGTAATCCTGAAAATAGGGAGACCGGAAACTTATGAAACTCCTCCTCTCTCATTTATGACATTCCAACTCAGTCGTAAAATCACGTCTTCACGAAGACCCTCTACGTCGATAAAATTTCCCTTGGATTCTAAAATATTTTTTAAATACTAAGAGTCAAATCAATTTATTTTCATCTACATGATGACTCGATTTTTATTTATTTCGCTCAGTTTGTTGGCTGTTAAATTGTCAAGTGAGCATTTATCTTTTTGATAAATTGATTTAATTCTGTTACTTCAAATACAACAATTATTACTTCCGTTTAGTTGTAAAGAGCGAAAGTATCCGCAGTCATAACCCGACGTCCCCGCATTGTCTGATATGGAACAATAAAATTCCGAATGGTGGCTGCAATAAAAATATTACGCTGCAAATATCGCAAAGGATGTCATCAAAGCGAAAACAAAAAATTCAAAGTACTTGGATATCCTTGGAAAGAAAAATAATCATAATCGACAACAGAATTGCGTTCACTTGTTCAATGCCTTTTTTGATAATCCTGGAAATAGGGAAACCGGAAGCTCGTGAAGCTCAACTCTCATTAACGAGATTTGAATTTAGTGATAAAGTGACACGTTTACAAGGACCCTTTTAAAATATTTACCAACTCGAAATCCAGCGAGTGAAATTAACCTGTTCTGTTTTACGACTCCATGACTGCATTCTTTCTCAGTCATTTTGCCCAATGAATTTCCAGTTAACTTTGAGTTTTATGTCACAAGCTCGAGTGAAAAAAATCAAAAGTCTTCAAATGCCTCTCGATACCCCATCCGGAAGAGAATAATAAATATATTACCGGTACTATATTAAAGTAATTGACCTAATTAAAAGATATTTCCATGCACTCTCGAATGGGATTCCATTCTCACCTCAATTTCCTCCAATTGAATGAATCTGAATGGTAAGTCCTCCGCAGAACATCTTGCGTGTGCCTAATAGATTCATCGATCGAGTTTTAATCGATTCGAAATCATGTATAAAAAATACGGGGGAAGAAAGTTGTTAAGAATGCGCAAACACGGAACAAAATTGAGGAAAGGGGTTTTGGGGGGGAGGGTGAGGGGATATGGCCAAATTCCAGGCATTATATTTGGCTTAACCACCGAAGGAACCAGTCCTGTCACGCGGCACGCAGCTTCTATTGGAGCATGAATAAAGGATCGCCCCCAGCGAGAATGTGATGGGGTTCCCCCCAGGAGTATACAAGCGTTACAAGATTCCATCTCAAATCCTTGCTGCTCTTCGTGACGCCAAACATTCTTTTATCCACTCTGTCTTCGTCTATCCTCCGTTTTATCATTTTTTTTTCCATTTTTCCCATCTCTTTTCCTCGGCTCTCGACCGTTCGGATATTCCCGCGATGATTAATCCGCGGGTCACGGTCCTACTGTTAAAGTTCCGGCACTTTCTTTCACCGGCTACCGGTCTCTTTATTTTTCAAGTTTGTCTTATCTATGGATTTGTTAACCAACGCCGCTTTGTATTCAGGATATACCGGAGACAGTCCTGATGAAAGTGAATCCATTGTTAATTAGATTCGTGATTCACTGCTAAGTAGTTGCCGCATAAAATTATTGAATTTCGAGTTTCACTGATTATTCACGAGTTTTTTCTCATTGCGTATTGCTTTTAATATGAGTGTCTCATAAACAATATACCGTAGATAAAATTATTATGTTTTCATATTTCCGTATTTCCTTGGTATTTTTCATTCTGTTTTTTTAATCAGTAGTTTTTTCTCTGGCAATTGAGAAGTTTAAGTGAAAAACTTTGGTTTATTCTGAGGAATTTCAACGAAAAATATTTTTTGTTGGATACGTCAATGAATTTTGTATAAAAGTAATAAAGTCGTTATCCACACTTGTACTTTTTCACGATTTTGTTACAAAAGTATAATGTTTGGCCATTAAAAATTGATGAATTCCTAGTTGTGACGTTTTTTGCGTCCATATTTTAAACCAAAGAGCAATAAAATGAAAAGTATATTAAAATAAAATTAATGTTCGTTGTACGAAAAATTTTATCGCTGTCACAAATTCCTCAAGATTCAATGAAACGACAGGAGTTATTTGACATGTCTCATAAAACCGAGTAGAAGTGAATAATTCAATGATTCACTTAAAGCGAATGACGAGTTGACTCTAGTGTATGAGAACACATCTGATTGGATGACCGGAAAATTTTTCAAATTTAGACGCATCACCACGTGCTCCTACATTTTTCTTTCTGTCAAGCTCTCATTTTTTTCTAAGAATCGCGAAGGGAATCTCCTCTACAAGTTAGAACCGTGCATCCTGTGGTTACGTAAACAAAATTAGTCGCCTCAATCCATGCAACCTGGGTAATGACGTAAGTAATTTCTGTTACGACTCTCCAGTAGAGATTTCAATATTTGAGTATTTGAATATATTTTTCCAACAATTTTTCTCTCAGAATGCAGCCCGCATCAGCCACGCTTGTTATCGCTTTATTTACAACGTTTTTGATGTCCCAATCGTAAAGAACAAAAATATATTTCCAAACCCGCGTTATCATAGGTTGGGCGAAAATATACTGCATTATCACTAGTTATCCATTATTTTTTTCCTGATGCCAGTGGCATCGAGTACCTGATAAATGGCGCTTAGTGACTAAAAAAAATTCGCATACATTTTCAAAAGAGGTCAGACGTTTTAAAGTGCACAAGTGTCACAATGCACTTTTATCACTCGATAAATATTTGTCATTGAGCCAGTAGGTAATCGCTGTTTCCGCGAACTGCCCACGAGATAATGATTAAAAGTGACAGGTGATATGGTCTTACCAAGGCAGAGTGTCTGGAGATACAGAAGTGTGACCCAGAATATAATTTTCGAAAACATTTCCGCTGTTGGTTTTTCGTGATGGCGACCATGTGTGTGAACGCAGACGGTGTCGGTCGATACCGGGTCGTCTAAGGTCATCCACGCGAATTCACCATTTACTCTTGTCTTTCCAATTTCTCCAGCAGAAGGATAATATTACCAGAAAAATTTAAGGTCCAATGAAGAATACGTGCAACTCGTCTTCACTTGACGAGTCTTCACTCACGATTCACCCAAAAATACGAAAAACTCCCGAATAATGAATCCACAACAATTAACCCACTGATTAATCAACTTTTGCTAATTGAATGTCAATAAAAAACCCAGAAGCTAATAAATAAGAACATCTTATTCAACAGTGGTGAGAAACTCCTTCAACCACTCAACTTCCGGTTGTCACTGCACCGTTGACACAATTTCAATTTTCCTCATCCACCCATTACAATTTTCCGGCTTATTATCTATTTTCTCCACACCACTGGCCGTGACGCGAACGCACTAGATCGCGAGTTCGATAATAAATGATCACCGGTGTTTCATAGGCAAACCCGATTATGTTTTCATATCCTAGGAGTTTGTAAATTTCGAGTAAATAGTAGTGACGGTTCGTCGCGGCAGCGGCCAAACAAAATCGTGCGAAACGTGCTCTGGCTCATAATCGACTGCGCGTGGTGTTGTGCGCCACGTTAAGGTATCCGTTCTCCACTTCCTCTTCGACTGCTTCTTCGGTCTCCCCTTTTTTTTTCTTTCCTCCTTCAATAAATGCCTCGTTTCAGGCCTCACCTTCAACTCCCAATTGTTAACAATTTTTTCCCTTACAGAGATAAAATATTATGGTGAAGCCTACAGCTGAAAAAAAAACCCTAAAAACGATGATTTCGCACGATCTCTCTTTCTCAAGAGATTCCGAGAAGAAATGGATAATTTTTCACAATTGGAAACAATGGGAATTGTTTTCACGGTTAAATTGTTATATATGTACAATGTTAATGGCGGAATGTGCAGAGGCAGAGGAATTGACCAGCGGGCGGGCAGATGGATGGATTCCTTCTCGTCTTATTCCTCGTGTTCTTCGGCTTCTTCTTGCGGACGACAGAAGGATGCGGCACTGGCACAGGGTGGGGGAAATTTAAGTTGAACCCTCTGGATTGAGGGCGATGCAGGAGGGAAAAAAAAATCTATCCTCTTCTGCAAACGAGAGGGATCGGCTTTTACCCAACAGTCATCACGTGTAGACACTGGTGACCGTGACGAGCCGATATAATACTGCGGCCTTAGCTGCCGTCTTAAGCGGGCCCGATGATGCCCATCAGTAACGAGAGTGCCTCGTTATTAAGCCTCAGACCCCGACCCCGCGCCCACTCCCACATCCTCCTCCTTTTTTTCTCTCACTCCATCCTGTTTTTTTTTTCTTTGCCTCATCCCTCCTTCTTCTCTTCTTTACTTTTTCTTATTCACCTTCAAACGTTTATACGTGGACTCCAGAGGCTCCATGGAATTCGCTCGAGGTATTCGATCGGTATTCCGATCGTAATAGGACGCCGCATCGGCACAAACACTCCGGGGCAAATAATGAGGGAGTAGATCAATTTTCGATTTTTCTTTATTATCTGAATTGTCAGGCAGTGAGGAGTGACTAATAGGGAGGAAATGTCACTTCTGGGATTCTTCTCTTTAGATTTTTCATTCTTTCCGCTTGCATTGACGACTTTTTTCCATTTTCTTTTTTCAGTGTAAGAAGAAAAAAATTGACTCAAATGTGTCTAGTTGATGAATAAAAATTTTAATCTAGTGACAATGCCATTCAAATTTTCAACAAATTTTTGAGTGAAAATTAATAATTACAGGGGACAAGCGCAGCGGGTAATAACAATCGAATTGCCTAAGTTTTTTAACTGCTTTTTCCGTAGAGGATTACTATTTACTATTCAAGAGATATAATGAAAAGTGAGTTTTAAATCACATGGTAATGATAACACGTTTTTCCTTTGACCCTCATAATTTTTATCCGTTATCATTTGTAACGTGGTGAATATTTTTCGGTTTGTGCATTTGGAATCCTGTGACTCACGAGCTCTTACCACCTGGTAAAACTAATTCCGTTGTTTTCCATTGTGTAATTCTTGTCTCCGTGTCAATCCTCTACGATACACACAGGCACATTAGCTGACGTCGTTCTTCTGCCTTGTATTTTTCAGTGTAAATTCAATAGATGACTGATGCAGATGACTGATCAATTGATGATTTAGACAAATGCCTAGGAATTAGCTTTCTGGTGAGGCATATTTTTTAATGGATTTTTCAAGTTCATACCAATGGGTATCGTGTTGAAATAATATCGATTGAGAATGCATCGCACGTTAGTTAAGAAATTGTGTAAATGACAAGGTTGATGGGTTCGTGTACACTACATCCTTTGATGATTTTTATTGGTTTTACTCGGGTGACCTTGTCAGTGGTGTGAACCTTGAACTGCACTACGAGCTAATTGATAGATTCCAACATCATTGCCTTCCACTATTTGTCTCCCCCAATGACAATCATTCCTCTCAACTTCATTGAATCTCAGTCATCGATAATTGGTGTGGTGTTCTCTGGAAAAAAAAATTGCTACCAGTGTAGACATCGTTAGTTCGTCTCTCCTATTTTTGAAAAACTTATTTCATGATGATGTAAGACATCGTATCGCGAATAATTGATAGGTAATATCTGTGGAAAGATAATTACAGATAGAACAGATGAGATCTGTCTGTACTGAAGATGAAACAATGAGCATTAGGTAAGTAATGGAACATTATTAGCGGAACTATCGATAGCAGTAAGAAACTACACTGAACTAATGGAAAGGAGGAAAATGAGAAAGCCATTCTTAAGAACACAAATACTTAATAACGACTGATTGAGTTAATCAAGAGACGACAGGGACATGAATAATTATTGTCGATGGGCAATCTCTGAGGAATGGGGAAAAACACATTTCCTCTCGAATTCTCCATTTATCAGGAAAAATATTTTAACATGCCCAGAGCTCGTTATTCTCAAGCCAAACAGGTTGAAGGACTCTATGAATGTCTCCACAGATATTAAATAAACGACATCGCTGCTGAATAATTTTTGATGAAGATAACATTAAATATTCATGGAGACGACCAAGGGACAATATTTTGATTCTGATAATTGTATATTTGTTTCTTGTTCAATATTTAGACATTAAACATGAATGTCACGGATTGTCGACAATCAATATCCAGGAACATAAAATTCAATAATTACGGGACTTCTTACAAAGAAAAATATTTTGTTACCTGTGTTACCTATAGAAATAGATTTGACGTAGAAATCTTAATGAAATGGAGATAATGTAAATAATAAAATCTGAGAAAAACCACGCACCCGTTGCTTCCCACAGATTTGTCTAATTTGTCCTTCGCATGGAGAGAGAATCGCCAGTTGTGCATATAGTCCTTGTATTCATACAAAATAACGTCATGTGGGTCTCCTTACACCGATGTGAAACAGAAGATAATGCACACATGTACTGGATACAAACATAAATTCCACGGATGGTTTCGTAGTTGTCTCTGTATATTGATCGTGATGGTCTACTTAAATGGTGTTACCATCGTGACTAAGTCATCAATGCGGCTTTCCCTGGTACAATGAACGGACCAAGAATGTTTAACATTGCAACGTTATACTGAATGATCAATCAATAATACTGATATATAACAGGTCAGTTAGTTTAACGAAAGAAGATACCTGGCATTATTGCATGCGACGTCGGGGAACCTGGCACCGACAAATCGGTCGACACGATTTTTATTTATTTTTTTTTTCGTATACCCTTTCTCTCCTTCTTCGTTGCCTCCTTTTTTATTCCATTCACCAGCGAATTTAAACAGACGGTAACAAGTTTACTGGGGTGAAATTATTATTTATCGTTGCGATGCCTTCAACAGAGACTGTGGGGGGGGGCATGCTGTTGGTTGACGAGAGAGATTCATATACTGAGAAAAAATTGTGGCCAAGTAAATGTACTTGCAATCAATACATACCTGATATTTCTGTAAAACATCATCAGAACTCTCTGGTTTTATTGCTCTATCATTAAAGTGAAAATTGATTAAGATCTCTTGATGCTAATTAATGTAGTTAGTAGAAATAAAATGAATGGAATGTTTTTTATTCTCAGTACAGACGATTTGTTGTCCTTCGAAGCTGAAGAGTTTTTGCTTCAATTTTTTATATATTAAAAAAGAGATATTGTTCAACTTTAACTACGTTGGATAGCAGATACGTGAATTCGGAAGAATTATAGGGTATCCGTGACTCACGGCGATTTGTTTGAAGCCGATTTAATAGTTTGCGGCACTGAAAAATCATATATTGATGGATATGGTTTTGTATTAGAATGACGTTTAGAAAGTTGGGGAAATAAAGTGATTGAAATGATTTTTCGGAGAACAGGCGGAGGTGTGAGTCATTGAATATCTCCATTTCATTCGTTTTGATTCTGCTAATCTGGAGAAACTGAAATCGTTGATACTCCACCGAGTACCTATTCCGCTGGGATAAATTCTTGAGATCATCTCTTACTGTTCACCGCTGTTGGCGGATTTCTTCGTTGGATTCCATGTGAGGGGCAGAGGAGAATGTAATTGGGTTGAAAAAGCAGTGTCTCGTTGCTTTCAAGTTTCTGGCAAGTAGAAAGAGACTCTGAGCTGGCTCCAGTGAAATTCCAAGAGCGAGGTGGCAGCCAAAGAGGATTGACTAAAGTAGAGGCTCAGTTCTGGGGGTTGGAGTGACCCCAACGGCATTGTAGTACTGCACCCCAAGAAAGGGAGGGCGCCACACGCAATGGGGGTGTCTGCCCGTCAGCAGACTTGGTAACTGCCTCGGAAACTGCCTCTTTGGTGGCAGCACTCGCCATTCAGTGAAGATACCGGCAATTTACCCTCGATTCACAACTCTATATAAAATCAAATTATAAATTCAATATCAAATTTTGTGTTTCGGCCAAAATATGAGATTTATATTAACTCAAGGCTTTTCCTCGATTTACTCTACTGAAATTAACCATAAGCTTCAGCTTTTTTTCTGTAGATTGCGAATAACATCAACTTTAATTTTAATTTGCATGAGAATACACTCTAATACCGTCAATACTAAAGAATTCTAAAATCCATTAATCCATTAATCTGTTTTGCAAATAAATAATTTAATCCACCTGAAAAAAAAATGTTATAAATATC